TTCCTTCCTTCCTTCCTTCCTTCCTTCCTTCCTTCCTTCTTTCCTTCCTTCCTTCCTTCCTTCCTTCTTCCTTCCTTCCTTCCCTGTCCTGGAGCGTAACCTCAGGTCCTTAGCACTGTCAGAATCTCACAGACTTTCCTGCTCTGGCTGGCTTCAAACCATGATCCTTAGATCTCAGCTTCCTGAGTAGCTAGTATTATGGCATAAGCCATCAGTACCCTGCATGAATACCTTTCTTTTTGGACAGTGTCATTACTTTTCTTATTCTCTCCTAGTAAAAAGGTTGATTTTTAAAGAAGCTCCTTTTTTTTTTTTGAGGGGGTGGTAGAGAAAATTGTTCTTTTTCAAAGATGCTCCTGGCTCCTGTAGTTTGTAAGTTGTTAGAGTAGTTCCAAGAATTAAGCAGGAGATGAAATGGATAACTTTTTCCTTTTCTCATTTGAGGCTTATTTCATCTGATTTTGCTTTTCTGTACTGGTAGCAATGACAGTTTAAAAATCAACGTTGGTAGAATATTTTTTTTCTCTTTCTTGAGCACACTTTAAAACTTCATTCTCTTTTTCTTCTTCCCCCTCCTTGCATTTAGAAACCTGTTAGAACATGTATATCTCCAAAATATTAGATATTTTTAAAAATAAAAGATCAAGTTCAGATACTTGCCTACAAGCTCCTTGGAGGTGTTTTTGTGCTTCTGTGTGCATATAAATTTTTCCCATCGCATACTGACATTTTGTTTTCTTTTGGTGATGCTCATTAATTAGTGCGGTATTTAATTAGTCAGGACAGCTGATGAGTCTTTCTCTGTGGGCTGAAGTAGTATTGGGCAGAGAACCGTTAACTTGGGCTGGGTCATCAACTGACACTTGTTCCTGAAGCTCGTTTGTTTCAACCGTTTCTCCATTCAAGCCTCTGGCTGTGCTGGCTCACCCCCCTGCCCTGTCCTGGGACTCCCGTCCTATCTCTGTGGTCTTGTTTTTCCTAGATCTGGACCTACTATATAATACTTACTAGCGCAGTGCACTGGTGGGCTAGTAGTGGGGTTGTGTTCATTAACTGTCTCTCTATTTTGAGGACACAGCACCTCTAAGTTGGTTACATTCTTCAGATTATTTTCCCTCTATATTATTTCCAATCCGTAGTAAAATGTTGTGATCACTTATAAAAGGCACCCAGTAGCAAATGACAGTGTGATTTTGACGGAAGACCTCACTGAACTGCTCATAAATAAGTTAGATCACTTCACAGATAAAATGCACAGGAGGAACTAAACATTGCACACATTTCCTTCATTTTGTGCTAGTACTGGGACTGGAACTTGGGGCCTTGTGCTCTTGGTTAGCCTTATGATAGAGCTCTACCACTTGAGCCACACCTCCATTTGCATCTCCCCCCCCCCACCTTGGTTATTGGAAATAAGATTTGCCTGGACTTTTCTTCTATGGCTGGCTTTGAACCTTGATCCTAAAATCTCAGCCTTCTGGGTAGCTAGGATTATAGGCAGGAGCCACATAGCCAGGCTTACATTGTGACTTTTTTTTTTTAAGGTAATCCTTTTTTACTCATCCTTACTAGACTAACCTTTTTTTTTTTTTTCTATTTTGTAAGCAAAGGCTTTTTTTTTTTTTAAGAAAAAGCTTTGAAATGTGTTTGAGGTTTGACATGCAAAATTCTTAGCAGAAAGTGTTTGATGTACAAAACACAAACTCAGAAACATTCAGAAAAACAAAAAGATGCCATTTTATTTATTTAAATATATCCTAAACTAAACCTTGGGGCCAGATTGGATATGAATTTGCGTTTTCTAGAATCTTGTAGGTTATTTAATCTTCTACTGATAACACAAGTAGTTTTTAGGTACTTCATAACTAAGGATCTTGTCTAGCTCATATGGATTTAATTTTCCAGGCAAAGCTGATGACTTGTTGGAGCTGTAGGCGATACATTTTCAGAGAATAATGTGTTTTGTGTATTTGAGAAATCCTCACTTTTTAGAGGAGACATAAAAATGTGATCACATTCGTGTTCTGTGGATAGCACTCACTTCTGTCCTGAAGTGCTGTCCATAACCCAAGTTCATGGTGGGCCTTGGGAAGCTCACGTTCCGGGAACTTGTTTGTAGACAGTTTCTTTTCCCAGGAGTTGTTTGTCGACTCTTAACTGGGCAATCTGAGAGAAAAGTCTAGAATCTAATATAGCTGACTCTGGTCACTCATAACTATGCTCTTCGTTTCTCTGTGGTTGGGAAATGGGAGTTTTCAAGATGCCTAATTTCATATTTCCATTTATATACAAATTTGGTATTTCAAAAGGATGGGCAGGCTTCCTGCAAGACCAGAAAATGGAGAAAAAGAAAAGACACCTCTCCCCTCCCCCACTTTTCCCTTCAGAAAGACAGACATCTGTAAAACGTGGATTGCACAAGATTTTATTATACTTGGGTATGTGTTGTGACATCTCCACAAATGGTTAGTTAGGCAGCATTCAAAGTATTTTAGGTTTTGTGGGTTTGACAGAAAAAAAAAAAGCAAGAAAAGAAAGAAAAAGAGCAAGCAAACCAAGGGATAGTGGGCACTTCAAAACATGGCTGGCATGTGTTTGGAATCAAGTCCTCCCTGGGAGAGAGAGGGAGTGGTATACTCTGCTGAGAATAGCTGTGGACAGGCTGTAGATCAAGCAGTAAAGTAAGCCTGAACTCTGCGTGGCTCAGACATGGTGTGGCTGCCCACAGGCCTTGTGCCATGGGATCGGCAGTGGTTTATAGTTTGGGAAACCATGAGAGGGGCTGGATTTGGGGGTCTTGATTGGCTTCTTACCCGAGATTTCTCAGTGATTTTCTTCTTCTGTTTTGTCCCAGCTGAAGCTGGCATTCCCTGTCTCTCCCTGCTGCATTTATTGTTTAATAAGGTTGGAAAATCAGGTGATAGAAAAGTCCAAGCATTCCTAGG